GATCTGGAGCAGGGTGTTTGAAATGCAGATACTGGGCTGCATCTGGGAGATTGTGGGAGATTGTCAGGCAGAAGGGGCAGGGACCCCTGCCTGGCAGGTTATCCGGTAGGAGGGGGCAGGGCAGGATGCCAATACTGGGCTGCCCCTGAAACGTTATTGGGATGACTTTGAGATGCAGATGCATATGCTGGACATAGCTGTCTTTTCTTTAGGCCTTTGTCATGCACACATAAGCTCATATCTGACTTCCTAACATTAGCATGTTCTCAACATAGCAGCTGAAATATTTCCAGTGGAAGCTCTCTTGGGTGGTTTACACAATCAAAATTAAAAGCATGGTTTTCTACGAGGCACTGGCAGCATATACTTGATTAGTGGCCACTGGAGTAGATTAGGGAAGCCCTTGGTGACGTTTCTCTCTGCCTGCTGTCACTGCTTTAGAGCCTCATGTGTTAGTAACCAAATTGTAGAGATGCTTAAAAAAATGTATGAAGCACAGGAACAGAGCAAGGCTCCAAACACTATGTAAAGTCTGTAGTGGTCGGGTTGTGACAGCGTGCTCGGGCTGCAGCTGTTCACTCTCTGCTTCCGGCTACCATTGTGTTTTGCAAACTGTTTTATTTTGGAATACTCCCTGGGGCAACCCTTATCTCTTCCATTAGGATTATCAGTCAAATTTAGGAGCTGTGTGTATAACCCGATGTAGGGATGTGTGACTCAGAAAGAGATACACTCAGGCTCATGTGATCAGAGCTCCTGAAGACCTGAACGATAGCAAGCAGGTTTTTGGGAACTGAGTGGGTGCCTTCTCCGGGGACAAACATGGAGTTTCCCAAGTTCTGTGCCTGTTATTTTGTGCTTTCAATTACAATGAACTCCTTCCACTGGCAAATTTAAAATGTCTAAGACACTTTGACGGAGTGATGCATGGGGCCCATGAATGTTTCTTGGAAAACTGGCGGCTCAACCATATTCTAACGAGATGTCATCGGCACGTGCCAGGTTGTATTATGTGACTTAGCCAGAGCCATGAGAAGCGGATCTGAGTGCCTCTCTCCTCCTTTTACGTAAACTTCCTCTCATCTTGGCCAGTCAGGCAGACTGCTCTGATAGTGAAATTCACAATGCTTGCAGGAGAGGGGAACAGCATGCAAAATCATCATGCCAAAGCAAGCACAGGGGGCTCTTCATATTCAGGATAACTCCAGTGGGCTAATTTTTGAACTGATCATCTTGTGTGGTCCATGAATGACGTTATAAATAACCAAATGACCCTTGGCAGACAAAAGATTCCCCACCCCTGTATTGGGCGTTAAAAATGTTTTCATCAGGGGACTTAAATGGCGGGGAAGAAGATTCCTGGATGGTGAATGGGGAGGAAATGTTGTCTCTGACTCAGCTGGGCAATCACGTTACCGATGACTGCACCCGTAGTGCTACCAAGGGCCGTTGCCAGAGCAGCGTGGGTGGCTTCTTTGTTTTGTGGCAGAGTGAGAAGGGGGTGGGAAATTCCATGGCAGCTAGTTTTCAGCTTCTCGGATCATTTTCTCTTTCTGATGTTTTGGATTTCTAATAGGACAATATTTCACGCAACAAGTGCATTTCCGCTGCTTCTAATGCTCACTCGAAAGAACAAGTGCAATTTCCCAACAAAACCAGAGCGGCCGAGAAGTAGAACGGTTAGTACTAGAGTTCCAAGGATCTTTGTCACTGATCTTTTGTTTGTTTGTTTTTATGTCATTATAGCGCAGGAGTCTTCTTCCAGAAACTGACGAGGGTGAAGGACATCTTACCTGACCTCAGCCCCACAGAGACAGGACTTTGCACTGGAGGAGCCGTTAAAGGTCAGAACCAAGAAAGATATGTCTCTTCATGTAAGCTCTGCTGTTTGTGAAATCTCTTCCAAGAATGAGTCATGGTGATGAACTCGGGTGGTTACAAGTAGTTGTCCGAGTCATTCTTAAATCAGTAGTCATAGAACATCTAAATGGTTGATTGTAAGCTTACCATTGAAAGAGCTAAGACAATAGAAATTATTAAAATTATAATTTAATTGAGGTTGTGGGAAAATATTGGATTCCTTATATGAGATCCTAAGCCCGAAAATAACTTGTGTAAGATTAGCCCACAGTGAGTACACCTAAAGAATCTTGAGTTTTAACCCTTACCTGTATTTTAACCTGACAACACTGTTGTGTGCTGTGGAAGTCCGTGCTACTGTTCATCAAAGATTTCCAGGGTCTGACAGTCACACGCATGCTAGGATTGTGCTTCCCGCTCCTCTGCAAGGTGGGTGAACACACGGCTCGTTCTGGCCAGCCGACGGGTTGTGAGCAGGGTGACCTACAGTGTATTGCTTGTGGGCCAGGATGTTAGCTGCTGATCCAGTTTCCTTAATTGTTGATCTGCGGGGTCTTAGTCCACCCAAACGAAGATGGACTGGGTCCGAAGAAAGGTAAGTGTGCCGCTCGCCCGTTCCCCAGCCTCCCGATCCCGGAGACGGTCAGACGCAAAGCGGGGAGTCAAGTCAAGCAGGCAAGAACTCGGTTTATTGCGTGTGTAGCAAAGCCTTTTAAAGCACAAGACCGCAGGATTACTGGGGCCGGGCATAAGGACCAACCAATTACTTAAAAGGTCATTTTATAGGGCGACTTATTACAGGACCAGCCATATGTCTGTACACTCATCATCAGTTGTCGTCACCTCCCCTGATGCTGTGCGGCCAATCAGCTTTGGTGGTAAATGAGTTTGCGTACCGCCTACCTTACTTCCTTTGGGCGCCATCTTTGAATTGCCACGTGCACCTAATTTCCCTGCAGGTGCCATCTTTGAATTGCCTCCTGTGCCTAATTTCCCCGCATTGATCCAGAGTCGTCTTTCTCTGCTGCTCTTGCTTGGCTTTAGGATTGAATCATGCACGTAGGATCTTCTGCCACACAAGATAGACATGTTCGCAGAAATATACAGAAAATACATGCCAAGACACTCTGGCAAAAAGATCTCTGTGAGTGAGATCCCAGTGGAAAGAACAGGTCTTCAAAGAGGGAGGTGCCTTTCTCTGAAGGGAGGAGAGAACCTCCACTTTGACTATGACCGTGTCTAAATAAGATAAGAGTCGGAGAACTCAAGGGGCTTCCATAGCCTTGGAAACTCATAACTGGTGCATAGGGAGATTACTGATGCCATAAACAGGAGTGTCAATTGGTAAAGTCAACAACAGGAGTCACTGTGCACTTACTCCTCATGTAGGATCTCGGTCCTTAACGTGCTGTACACTGAGGCTTAATGCTATAACGAGTACTCAAACAGTATATTTCACTTTGTGTTTCTATGGGGGTGCAAACGACTGAAATCTTTACTTAATGTACACTAAACTGATCTTCTGTAAAAAAAATAAAAAAAGAAAGAAATTTTCAATTCCCAACTTGACTCTCACTGGGATTAAACATGACAATAGGTCTGATCTGATTTCATCATCATTTAAAAAAAATCATCTATTATTTTTCACTTTATGTTTCTGTGTGGGAGCAAACTGTTGAAATCCTTACTTAAGGTATACTAAGCTGATCTTCTGTATATTAAGATAATCGAAAATGAATCTTGATGTGAATGGAAGGGGAGAGGGAGTGGGAAAGGGGAGGGTTGTTGGTGGGAGGGACGGTATGGGGGGGGAAGCCATTGTAACCCATGAGTCGTACTTTGGAAATTTATATTCATTAAATAAAAGATAAAAAAAAAAATAGAAAATCTCTGGGATGCAGTCTCTGCATCAGTCTGGCAAACTGCCTGGTTGAGCACCAGGTTGAATACGTTTGAACTGTGTGAGTATGGGCAAAATACTAAACTTCTCTGGTTTTCAGGTTTATGCACTGTAAAATAAGGGCAGTGGCATGGACCTCGTTAACTTGTGGTATGACCAACTAATTCATGTAAAAGTTACACTAAGTGTATAAGTTCTCTCATTTGTGCTATTATATTAAAGCTACATTTAATATTCATACTAAGCTGATATTTGTTCCCACGAATGGGTATAATATGTGGCATGTCCCAATGGAAGATGGAAATGTTTTCCTTTAGTTTATTCACAAGGCTTTTATTTGACAATTGGACAAATGGCTCACTGAATTCTCAAGGAGTAAGCTGTCTTAGCTCAGGCTGCTGTAACAAAACATGAGAGGCATCAAAAAACTGCTGTCAATTTGCTCAGCTAAATGCACAATTATGCAATAAAAAAAAAAAAGAAAATACATGAGATAAAATATGAATAGTGCTTGTAGTCTTCAATAGCATTACAATATAGCATATGGTGGGTCATCTGTGCACACTCATTCATAAGAAGCTCAGGAACTAAGGATCCTCCCTTCATGAAAATTATGTTAAAGTCTATAAAAGAATATATAGTTCATTGTCGTAAGGTCATCATTTAAAGAGTAACATGGTCTCAAGATTTTGTTCACAAATCAGAAGAATTCTGAAAATAACAGTATAAATTATTTACTTACATGCGATTTTTTAAAGATTTATTTATTTATTTGAAAGTCAGAGTTAGAGAGAGAGAGAGAGAGGTCTTCCATCCACTGATTCACTCCCCAGTTGGCCGCAACGGCCGGAGCTACACTGATCTGAAGCCAGGAGCCTCCTCCAGGTCTCCCATGTGGGTGCAGTGGACCAAAGACCTGGTTCATCTTGTACTGCTTTCCTGGGCCATAGCAGAGAGCTGGACTGGAAATGGAGCAGCCAGGATTTGAACCAGCACCCATATGGGATGCTGGCACAGCAGGCAGCGGCTTTATCTGCTACGCCACAGCACCAGCCCCATGCTGCTATTTTTAAAAAATTTATCTGATGATGGAAAATCATCATACACTTTTGTTTGCTATTCAGAAACTAGTATTACATGAGAATCCTAACAGATTGTGCAGCTATTAAAACTCGGCAGGCCAAATGTGCTGGAGATCCAGCAGGAGGCCGTGGGCGACTCCCATGAATGGCAGACTTACCAGGGGGAGCTCCAGTTAGGAAGAGAGCAGGCAGGTGATCTGGCTAAGCTTCACCTGTTCGAACAGGAATTTCCCAGGAAAGTCATGAAGGGCAATTGTGTGTGTCTAGTTCTCCAAATAAGACGTCTATAATTAAATCAGCACATGTACTGTTTCTTCTAACATCTGTGAAAATAAATTTTAAAATATAAGGTTAACACGAGTAAGGTATTACATCTACTTTCAGTTTTTTGATCTAACACAAGTGCCATGTGTGATGTCATTTCATAAAATGCATCAGTGTCTGTGGTACTGCATTTCTGGCAAACCGTGAATGAATTAAAGGAAAAAAAATAATAAATCTGATCATTCATTAGTGTGGGAAGTAGTGTGGCTTAAGTCCCATTTTACCTGCTATGAGTGCAAGTGAAAAGAGCAATGTATATTAGATTGGAAAAGATTTAAGGTTGATATGGTGTTTATTCCTTTATCGCTCTCTCTCTCTTTTTTTTTTTTATTATTTCCCAAACATTTGCATCATTTAAGTGATCTAATCCACGTTAGTGGAGATCAAATTCATTCCTTATCTGTTAAATACTATTTGATTCATTCAAGTGTAACTTTAAAATAATCATTTCGCTGATTCTTATTATTTGGGGAAAATCCTGTTCCTCTAATTCAAACCTGGTTTTACTAAAGTAAAATATCATTTGATTTATGAGACGGCACATGTGGATTTTAATTATAGAGAGAAATTTTATCTGAACAGCAACTGGACATTAACCTTCACATCCTAAAATAAATGTCCTGGAAAACAATTCAATCAGCCTAGATTATCTTTACATCAATGCAACAGCCAGGGGTTGTTTAACAGTAGTAATCCAAGAGCAGGTTAGGAAACTAATAAATATTTAGGCTAGAGTCAGTGGCTAATTAAAATCACATAAATAGAGGATCAGATATCTAAACCCACAAGTTTATTGTGGTCCTTTTTTAAATTGGAAAATCCAGTGGTCTGAGCTTTTAAGAAATAAGTGAAGAATTCTCGGCCTAGATAGAGACCAATGACAGCATGTGTATAAGAAAAGGGCATTTTAGCGCAAACCCTTGCAGTGTTTAGGGAGGGGTGGCCCTTGTGGGCTTTGGGCTCTGTGAGCAGAGTGAGTGTTCCAACCCCAGTACGTTCTCAGTGAGCACTTCCCGTTTCTACCTTCAACCCAACACCGAAGAATAAGAAAACAGCATGCATTTGGGTACTGTTAACTCGATTTTGATGTGGTAAATAAGTTTGCAATTCCATGTTTCATCTTTATGGGAGGATATTGTTCCTGTCATTCCCTGACTTTATCCTTGGTTTCATGGGTTTCACTGATCACCAAGCCTAACGTGATGATTAAAGTCACTGCTTTCCATGAAGTGGCTTTGGTAACTTTACAGATACAACCGTAGAATCAAAGAAAAAGTAACGCCTTGAGAGCAATGTTACTGAGGTCAGAGCTGGATGGCCATGACTGTTCCAGTTTGGCCGTGTATTTCACAGGCAGACACTAAATGGACTGTAATTACAATTGCATGGTTGTTTAGGAGATGTCAAAGCCGCATTAGATGATGGTAGATAAACCTGTGTCAGATAAAATGATAAATATTTGTTATCTTTTAATCCTCCTTTGTGTATCCAAAATGAGTGGAGAGCTCGGCTTTGTGTTTGTTGACATGTGGCGGTTATTTGAATTCAGGGAGGTTTGTTTCTGGGCTCACGTTTGCTTTGGCACTACCTCTCCTGCTCCCTTGCCAAGGCATGAAGGAGAAGCGTGCTTCCCGCCCCACTGTGAAATCAGAGGCCGGTCTGGAGCCTGCAGGCGAGAGGTTGACTCGTGACTTGTGGGGTGTAATGAAAATGGTTTTGATCTTGACTTCAATCATTTGATAAATCTAGAGTAAGAGATTTGGAAGAAAAACTCAAAATTGCTCATCGTTGACATTCTAAAATAACATTTTTTTTTTCTTTAAAAGAATAAACAAACAGTATGAATGGCAAAAGGGAAAACAAAAAGACAATGACTAAGAAATATTTTTAAAATTTGTTTGCTGTTTACATATGACAATAATTCTTAATGGCTTCAGTCTTCTAATAATAAAGCAAAAATTCCAGTATGAACCTGTAACTCTTCAAAAATGGCCTCATGCTATGTTAAATATATATCAGATATTCACAAAGACAACACAAGTAGAGCAGTGTTGGTGTTACCTGCTTTACGAGTAAAGAAGGTACTATAATAATTAAAATTTGCTTTGAAAAAATATAATCAGTTAGGAAGAGATAAAAGTTTGTTAAATACTGCAGTCACAAAACAAAAGCAATTAAAAATAAAGGACCTATTCAATACAGGTTTCCATGTGGATTGCAGGGACACGTGAGCTATTACCAACCACTACCCGGGTCTACGTTAGCATGAAGCTGGAATTGGGTCCTAGACTGGGACTTGAACCCAGGGACTTTGGTATGGGGCACCAGTGTCCTGTAACCACAGGGCCAAGTGCCTGCCTTATCTTCCTCTTTTTGATGCTATCGAGAATGGAATTGTAGCTATGATTTCCTTTTTGATTTGTTTTTGTATGTTGACTTTGTATTTTGCTACTTTGACTAATTTAGTTATTATTTCTAATTTTTGTGGGAATTTTTGAGTTTACTGCATGTAAGATCATATCATCTACAAATAAGGGTGATAATATTTCCTGTTTTCCAATTTGGATGCATTTTATATCCGTTTTTTTTTTTTTTTTTTTTTTTTTTTTTTTTTTTTTTTTTTTGACAGGCAGAGTGGACAGTGAGAGAGAGAGAGAGAGACAGAGAGAAAGGTCTTCCTTTGCCGTTGGTTCACCCTCCAATGGCCGCCATGGCCGGCGTGCTGCAGCCGGCTCACCGCGCTGATCCAATGGCAGGAGCCAGGTGCTTCTCCTGGTCTCCCATGGGGTGCAGGACCCAAGCACTTGGGCCATCCTCCACTGCACTCCCGGGCCACAGCAGAGAGCTGGCCTGGAAGAGGGGCAACTGCTACAGAATCTGGCGCCATGACCGGGACTAGAACCAGGTGTGCTGGCGCCGCAAGGCAGAGGATTAGCCTAGTGAGCCGCAGCATTGGCACATTTTATATCTTTTTTAAAAATCTAATTGCAGCATGTTGACCTGAAGAGGTGAAAATGGACATTCTCACATAAGTTACAGTCTCAGAGAGAAAAGTTTCAGACTTCGCCATTGACTATGATGTCCCTGGTCTGTTTTTCATATATGGCTTTTACTATGTTGAGATAGATTCCTTCTATTTCTAGTATGTTGAATAGTTTCATCTTGAAAGGGTGCTGAGTTTTGGCAATTTTTTTCCATCAATTTAGATGATGGAGTATTTTTCCCATCATTCTGTTCATGCCATATATTACTCTGTTCAACTTTTGTGTGCTGAATAATCCTTATGTTCCAGTAATAAATCTCACTTGGACATGGAACCTAATCATTTTAATATGCTGCAGAATTTGATTTGCTAGTTTTTTGAGAATTATTGCCTCAGCATTCATAAATGGTAGTCATCTGTAATTTTCTTATAACTTCTTTGTTCAGCTTTGGCATCAAGCTAATGTTAACCTCATAGAATGAGCTAGGAATTAATCATTTCTTTGCAATATCAGTGTTTTGGAAAAATTTGAAAAGCCATCATGTGCAAGAATTTTCTTTCTTGGAAGATTTTTATTACTGATTTAATATCCTTACTAGTTATAACTATTCAGATTTTTTGTTTTGTCTTAATTTCATCTTCATGGATTTTGTGTTTTAAGGATCTGCTCTTTTGGTCTAAGTTACTCAGTTGGTACTTTTTGAAAAGATGTATTCATTTATTTGAAAGGAAGAGTGAGAGAGAGAAAGAGAGAGAGAGCAAGAGCGAGAATGAGAGCCCGAGAGCGCTAGCCAGCCAGCCAGCCATTGGGTGGTTCACTCCCCAAATGGTCACAATTACTGGAGCTGGGCTGATTCCAAGCCAGGAGCCAGAAGATTCTTCCGGGTTTTCCACATGGGTGCAGAGGCTCAAGAATTTGAGCCATCTGCTATTTTCCCAACCACATTAGCAGGGAGCTGGATCAGAAGTGGGGCAGCTGGGATTTGAACCAGTGCCCATGTGGAATGCCGGCTGGCACTGCAGATTTACCTGCTGTGCCATGGTGCCAGCCTCCCAGTTTGCTTTTTAAGAATATTTATCTGTTTGAAAGACATAGTGACAGAGAGAGAAGACAGAGAAAGAGAGTGTTTATTCTGAAGGACCAGTTTAGTGATAATGAGGTTCCTCTGGTTTTATCTGGGAATGTCTTAATTTCTCCTCCCTTTTGAAGAACAATTTTGTCAGATCCGGGATCATTGTTGACAGTTTTTCCTTTCAATTTTTTTGAACACTGGGAACATGTTAGCCTACTTGCCTCTGGCTTCCAAACTTTCTGCAGAGAAATATTCTGAATTCCTCAAGTATGGCAAATTCGTTCCTTCATGCAATATTCAGAATACTCTTTGTCTTTTTTAAGAATTTGATTATAGGTTTTGTTGAGGTCTCTTTGAGGACAATCTACTTGGATCTTGTTGAACTTCTTGGTTGTTTATGTTTGTGTCTTCAAAGTGCGTAGTATTTGGCTGTATTTCTTAAAATACTCGGCCTCCCCTTTCTCTATCTCTTCTTCTTCTGGGACTCACACATTATATATGATTTTCTTGTCGCTGTCCCTCATGCCTCTTCAATGGTGTTTACTTTTCTTCCGACGTTTAACTTTTTGTTTACTAATTCAGTAATTTCCATTGCCCTGAAATCAATAGCTAATTATTTCTTCTTCCAGTTCAAGTCAGTCTTAGAATTTCTACAGTAAATTATTCATTCAGTTTTTGTACTTTCCAGCTATTGGATGTTTTTATTTTCAGGTTTTCTATTTGCCTTTTACTCATTCATCATCTTGTTGGCTTTCAGCACAAACTTGTTTAGTTCTTTGGACGTCTTTAAGATGGCAGTTTCAAAGTTTTTGTTCAGTAGATCGCGTATTAGGTGTTCTTCAGGGAGAGTTTCTGTTCATTTCTTACTTTTGCATTTGAAAGTGACATATGTTCCAGGGGCCCGCGCCAGGCTCACCTGGTTAATCCTCCACCTGCGGCACCG